TTAAGATCATCTAAAAATCAACTTATAAGCTAGAGCTAAATGAAGAGGGTTATAAAAGACTTTTTAAACATACTGTATAAATACTACAGAAGTCAATTTTGTTGTGGACTCTCATTTTTTGTTTTTTTTTTTCACGTTTGTTAGTGGGAAAATGCCTCCGACCCCCAGTTGGGGTACTGGGGGTCGCATGTGATTGGTGGAAAAAAAAAAATTATTATTATTTTTTTTTTTCGGCCAATGTGGAGGCGACACCTCACTGGGGGTCGTCAGTGGGGGTCGCCCCACTGGGTGTAGGAATCACAACCCTTTGTTAGTGTCCTTAGCATTTCCATTAATAACGGATGATTTGACAATTGTCCTCCTAATAGTTTTTTTTTTGTTTTTTTCAATTTTTTTGAGATAAAATTGTTGCTTAAAAACTGATGTGATTAGTAAACAATTTATTTTATTTAATTGTAAAAATTGAGTGTTTAAAAAAAAACACTGAAAACGAATATTTTTTAAAAAATTTAAATAACTTTTAATCAAAACTAAACAGAGCCTAAGACAGATATAAGCACACAATCCGTACTGGAGCCCCGTTGGGCTTTTACGGAACTTGGCCTGCTTTCGCATTAACTCACCATTCCCATCCAACTCACCCCACCCCCCTAAGGCAGGTTAGGGGCCGGCGGGCACGCCCATAGTTTGCGAATGAGACCGGACCAATGCTACGAGCTTTCAAAATTCAATAAAATCTTTGTAAATCGATCATTACGAGTGTTACGATTCATTACATGCATTAGACTGGTGATGATTTTGGGACCCACAGTGATATGGTCGACGGCTGCTGTTGTAGGAAAACCTTGATTTTGTTACAGTCCAAGGAAAGGTCCAAAAGGAGTTAATGCATTTGTCCATCCCATCAATTGAAAATTTTGGAAGATTACATCTCTAATTTAAGATTCTTGTTATTTTTCAACCAGTAATCTAAGAGGTTGAAATTGATGGAATCTTGTAAAACCTTGATTGGATTTTGATGACGTTATCCATGTGTTTTTTGTCTCTAGCTATGCCAGGACTTGCCAAATACATTGAATGACGGCTTCCCAAAAACTGCATGTGGATCATATTGTTGGACTTGGCCTGCTTTTTTCAACAAAGGATTCACTTTCAACAGGTACTCTTTTGCTCATCACTTGTCTAGCATTAGAGAAAAGTTTAAGGTATGATTTGATTTTACCTTGTCGATTTCCTGTTTACAAAAAAATGTGATTTTTTTTGGGTATGTGTTTGGTTTACACAAATATTTTAAAAATAAAAAAAATATGTTTAATAAATTGTTAGAGATTGTGGCCGGTAATGAAAGATAGAACGTGGCAATTGGTGGTGAAGGTGTCTGAATGTGGCCGTTGAAGTTGGTGGCAGAAATGTTAACGGAGGACATGGGGTGGCCTGGTCCGAGGGTCACTGGAGGTCACGAGTAGTGACTGTCTGGTTACTGGATCTGGTTAGAGAGTTGCCGAAAGGTAATTAGAGTTTGTTGGAACTTGCCGGAGGGTTGCTAGAGGCAGTAGATGGTGGTGGTGGGTAATAGTGGGTGGTGGGGAGGTAGGATTGATTGAAAATTTGTTTTGAAAACAACTTACAACATATTTTTTTCGTTTATTTTCAATTTTGGAATCAATTTCATTTTTTTGAAAACAAAAATATACCAAATAAGCTTTCATTTTCATTTTTTTTAAAAAAAAAAATTGAAAACAAAATAAAAATTTGAAATAAGAAGTGTTAACAAACAACCCGTAAGGGTAACCCAGTTGGTTGAGGGCAAGGGACTAGGGACTAGGGACTTAGAAGTATGCTCCTCTCTAGGTCTCAGGTTCGAATCCCACCCTCAGCTGGCTATTGGCGGGCCACTGCGTCTTTGCCCGGTCGATTAGCTTAGGGCCCTGAGATTAGTCGAGGTGCGACACTCCGGAGGAGTGCTGGCCCGGACACTCGGTTATCAAAAAAAAAAAAACAAACAACGACATAACTACACAGAATTTAACGATAGAACACTCACATGATTGTACTTTTCCGTGTATGAAAAATTGATACTGTCATTATCCATGTTGGAGACTTTTGATTATTTTTAACAAAATTAAAAATTTTCTGGTAACAATCGATCTATAAGAATTCCTCTTTCCAAATATTTATTTCCATTTTCTAAAGGATGGTTGATTGTTTATTTTCTGATGATAAGCATCTACCTGCCAATGTTGACATTCTTATTTCTTGACAATATAAATAATAAATTGCTTGTGTTCATGTATTTGAAGCTTATGACATTGGAGGAACTAAAGGAAGGTCATTTCCCATCATGATTACTTTGTAAACTATGTTTTTCTCTTGTGCATTATATCAGAATATTTAATCTAAAGTATTGGTTACGTATTAAATATCAGCCGATATGTATTGATATTTTAGACTTTTAATGTTGATGTTGACTGATATATTAGTCAATATAATCTAATATATAATCTTTTTCACTGTTACTGATACGTATCACCATACCCATGATGGTAAGTTCCTTAAAGATTTTTTAACAGTTAGCAAGCAAGACCAAATTTAAAGATTAAAACAAGGTTTAACTTGATATAAATGATACAAGTGAGCAATGCTACGTATAGTCCCATTTCTTGTCCTATTCTCTCATTTATAGACACTAAGGCAATGAGATTCATGTTAATACATGTACATTGAATCCACTCATTTGTCTAGAGGTGAGAAAATAGATAGCATTTTCTTATAAGAATATATAGTATGTCCAAATTACACCTGGACTGCACTACTGCCCCGACGCCAGTGGGATTAAAAAATGACCCAATTGATTAAATAAAGAATAATCAGGACAAATGTTAATTTTAAGAAGGAATTAGGAAAGTGTATAGTATATTGATTAAGATATTTCCTTTATATTTTTTTTAAAGGGAAATGATATCAACCACACTGCTAAAATATTATAAATCAAAAATATCAGCACCCATTGTTCCATTCTCCAAATCAGGTGGACTCTGTAATCTAAGACAGTGCACACTCTACTATAAAACTAATACAAACTCTACTATAAGCAATTCATCATCTCTTTTTCCTGTACAGTACAGTCTTGTTTGGATGGGGTTATTTAGTGAGAAATAATAAGAAATGAAGAGAAATAAAACTTTTTCTCATATTTGATTTGAAGAATATGTGAGATATTTCATTTAGGGTGGATTTTTATTATTTTTTAAAATTCCTGGTATTAAGATTTTATAACATAAAAGACACTCAATATTTTCATAATATCTAAGGTCTCTCAATATCGATCCAGAGAAAATTCGATTCAGAGAATTTATTTGGATACATCACAGAGAAAATTCTAAATTTCTCTGGACACATCACATAGAAAATTTTACACATCACCCACACCAAATTTCTCTGGACACATCACACAGAAATTTTACACATCTCCAACACCAAATTTCTCTGAACACATCACACAGAAAATTTTACACGTCACTAACACCAAATTTCTCTGGGTCTATCTAGAGAAAATTGTGAAGTGAAGCAATGAGCAATTTATAGTAATCACCCAGTAAGTAATCAACAGACATGGATTTGCATAGAGCACAAAGATGTTACAAATACCTGTTTCTTAGTCAACATGGGTCCATCACAAACTCCAACCACAATGCCACCCCTAGCCAATTCAGCTGCTTTCTGTAAGTACCAACTTAATCAGATACATTTTCAGATATATATACACACACACACACACACAGAATTTTGAGGAAAAGGCGGTGACCGTTGTGTAATCGGTCGAAGATGCCTCCGATTACGACGGATCCGAATGTATTTGGCGGTGACATTTTGGAATCTGGTGCAGATTCATCCGAAATCACCATTGAAATAGGTAAAGAGAGATTGCGAAAGAGGAAAGGAAGAAGAACAAAAACGAAAACTGCATGGATTTTGTTGATGATGCTGCAATTTCACAACAAAATCGGAAAAAAGTAGGATTGATTTCAAAGCAACTACTCAACTGAAGCCCCGTTGTTCTGTTGGGAAGATGCTAAGGTACAGTGAACCTGGACCAAAATAAATAATAATCATTAATAATAGAGTAGTTAATGGAGGAGAGAGATAGAGAGTGGGAGATATATCAAATTTCTCTGTAATAGATGATTGTGGGTTTAGGGATTTTAGATATTAAAACAATAATATTATGGATCTCTTTTATTACTAAAAATGAGAAAGGGAACTTAGACTAAATTTTCCTTTCATTTATCACAAAAATAAATGATTATATTTGATGACAAATAAACTACTTGATTATCTAATTTTCATAATATCCAGATTGCCCATTAAAATAAAAGGAAGAATAAGACATTTCATTCCTATCCCTCTTGAACATGTTTTTTTTTCTTCTTATTCATCCAAACATGGTAGTAAAAAAACATAATTACTTCCTTTCTTTTTTTTACTCAATGAGAAATCGCAGTAATTGCAGTAATTTCTTTTCTATTTATGTTATTCATTTCTTTCCCTGTCATCGACATTTAAGTCTTTTCCTTTCTCCCTTTTAAGTTCCAAAAATGGAGCAAAATTAATGAGTTTCCATCTCTGTATTTTCTTGGGAGAAATCCGTACAAATAATTATGGTAAGATAGTTCATAAGATTGTTAGGAAAACAAGTAAATTGGATATTACTTTTACCGTGCTATCCCTTTCAGAAGTCAGGGATTTGAGGGACAAAAAGTAAACTTCTCGCAGACCCATGATTAAGATAATACCTAGCACAAAATTGAGGTCTGTCTTATTCTAGCTTATGCTTTTTTTGTGTTTGCATCTTAGATTAATTGAAATATTTGTGGAGAAAAAGGAAAAACAAAAATTTGAATGATTTTGTTTGTAAATTTTTTAATTTTTTTTAAAAAAATTTCCCTTTACCTTTTTTACTTCATTTACTTTTTCCTTTCATTTTATTAATTCTTGATAAATTCAATCCTCTCTTTTTCGTGGGTTTTATAAGTATGCGATATGTATTAACAGCAACGTGCTGGTTCTCTTTACTCCATCTTTGACCCTTCTGTCTCTCTGTATCAAAACTCTCTACATATTAAACATTTTTCACGTTTTACAGATTTTTGTTTTTTAGAAATATAAGCAGGCTGCAACTTCTGTTCCCTTGAAGCTTTTCAATCCATAAAAAAAGGTAGATACTGGTTTTAATTGCTAGGTACCTCACTCACTCATGAAAAGAAAAGAAAAATAGTGGTTCAACTTCTTAACTGGTTTGATTTGTGGCCTTTTACAGGGAAATCATCATGGAGGGAAAGTATGGTTTGTACAGACAACGTAGGACATCCATGAGGAATGAAGAATTTCAAGAAGAAGATGTTTGGGCTGTTTTCCAAGAAAGAAATGACTTTACTTCCAAATCCAAGTTTGGTTCATCCGAATCCTTGACAATTACTCCACGGCGACTCCCAACTGCTTCTAGAATGATCCCAAGAGCTGCCACTACCATCGCTGGTGCTACCACCACCACTCAAGAACCCAAAATAGTTCAGCAATCCGCGCCTGTCAAGATACCTGACTGGTCAAAGATTTATGGGAAGAACTTGAAGCAAATCTTTGATGATGATGGTCATGAAGATAGTGGTGGTGGTGGCGGTGGCAGTAGCGGTGATAGGGGTTTGAAAAGTAGTTGGGATAGCGATGAGGGTGATGATGATGACTATGGTGGAACTATTGTGCCCCCACATGAGTGGATTGCTAGGAGGCTTGCAAGGAGTCAGATAACTTCTTTTTCTGTATGTGAAGGGGTTGGGAGGACTCTCAAAGGGAGAGATCTCAGTAGGGTGAGGAATGCTGTGTTGACTAGAACTGGTTTTCTTGAACAGTACGGGCTTGATGATCATGATCATCGTTATCATGACGGTGATACAAAGTCACCAAAATGATTGGTATATGATGGTCTTAAATGTGTCCCCATGGAATTAGGGTTTGTATTGGTATTTGTCATGCTGTGTATATGGCTTTCTAGATCCCCTCTTTTCCTTTGTTTTTCCTTTCTTCCTTCGGGTTAGACATTATGATTGTTTGGTAGTCTCTTCCAGTCTATGAGATTGTTGTGTGGGCTCTTTTCTACAAAAGCAATGTTAGGAACACAAAATGGACTGCACGATAGTCCACAGGTTGGCATAATATCCAGTTATGGTGGAGTTCGCATTCAAAATAAATCTCAATCTGTTAATACTTGTTTTGTTATCTATTATGTGTTTTTAGCAGTAGTGGTTTCTAGAAAGACAGACTCTACTTTAGCCAAATGCTAAAAATACATAAATAGAACTCAAAACACGAATTTTGACGGGGTTATCATTGGAGAAATACCTAACTCATCGCGAAGGTTTGTCATTAGCGTCTTGGTAGTGCGGATTTGAGTTATGAAAATAGCGTTTTCAAAAATGAAGATAAAATTATATACGTTTAATTCTTTTTAAATTTCACTGTAACGGGAGTTTGGTATACTGAATTTTCCTTTAATATGAATGTTTGTATTCTGTTTTTATGTTCGGAGTGTTTCTCTCAATTTTAATGTAAATTGTCGGTCAATAAGCCTAATTCATTTGTGAGTTTTTTTATTTGTTTTTTTATTTTTGAAAGGAGCCTAATAAAACCAAAACTAATGATTCTTATGTGGGGCTTTTATTTGCACTTCACAAAACTTCTCATTTACACTATCACTTCGTGTACTAATCAATCATCAAATAATAATAATAAAAAAATTATGATTTGAATATCAACTGTTGACATGACTAAAAATTCAGTTCAATAATTGTCATTCAAACAATTAATTTTTGTTGATAATTTATATCCAAACAGACAAAATAATGTAAATTGAAAGAAAATATATGATATGCAAATAGAAGCTTCGCTCTTATGCTTGTGATAACAGAAAAAAAATAGATTTCATTAGCCCAAGCTTCTCTTAAGTATTTGGGTGCAAGTATTCTAATCTATACTATATATAAAACACATATATTCATTTGAAGCTTTATCATAAATTTTCAAACTTTGTGTTAAGTCATCACTAACAGATTGATGCACGTGTGGGAATAGAGAAGGAAAATATCTAGTTTGATTAGAGATATCTAGCTAGTTTGTTAGAGATATCTAGTTAGTTGTAATCACATGTGCTTGTATATCTATGAGCTCTGCTCATCTATTCATTCAATGAGAATCAGTTTATCATTTTCTACATGGTATCAGAGCCGGAATAAGCTCGATCGAGCATCGGTTCTTGGCTTCAATGGCTGTTCCTTCAATCTTAGTTTCTTTATCAGTTTATTCATCTTCTTCAACTGTAATTCCTTCAAACCTAACACTTCTCATCTCCAATCTGTCTTCGTTTGTGACAGTGAAGCTCGATGCTTCAAATTTTTTGATTTGGAAGAACCAAATCCAAAATATCTTGAGGGCTACTAGTTTGCTTGGTTATGTCGATGGAACAATTTCTTGTCCACTAGTAACAATCAAAGACTCTTCTGGATTTGAAGTTTCTAATCCAGTACAAGTATAGTGAGATCTAATAGATGCACATTTGCTTAGTTGTGTTACGACAACTCTATTATGAGATTTGGAATGCTTTGATTAAAAGATTCACCATTCTCTCTCGGTCACATATTCATCAACTCAAAAATAAGCTGAATAATGTGTCCAAGAAAGGTGAATCCATGGAGGATTATTTGAATTGCATTATCAAATCAGTTGGCACTCGTATCTGCTATAGTTGAAGATGAAAATCTTGTGTTAATCACATTGAATAGGCTCCCTGATGAATATGATTCTTTTAAAACTACTATCAGGACAAGATTATAAGGTATTTCAATGAAGGAATTATGTGCTTTGCTTTGTTCCGAATCTATTCATGTTGAACTAAAAAGTAAAAAAGTATCACATGTTGAGCAACCTAATGTTGCTTTCTCTACTGCTCGAGGCTCACGATCTACTCAGTCTGGTTCTTTTAGATATTCTCGAGGTCAAGTTTTTCATTCACAAGGTCGATATTTTTGTAAAGGAGGTCTAGGAGGTCAACTTTCTTCTCAATCTCGCAACCATGGTAGTTCTTTTTCTAAGTTTGTCAAATTTGTGGTGTCTTTGGCCACATAGCTTTTGATTGTTGGCATCGGTTGGATGCTTAGTATCAACCTCATTTTCAATCTTTTTCTTCGTCTATGTCTAACTCTAAAGCCTTTGTTGCTTCTTCTTCTCTTCCAATCAGTCCCCCCTTACTCCTCTTCCTCTTTCTCTTCCTCTTGCATGCTTTGGTACCTGGATTCGGCTACTACTAATTATATGACAAATGATTTGAACAATTTAAGTCTTTATCAAGCTCATCCTATGATCAATAGATCCAAATCCTCTGCTCCCTCTACTTCTCTCAGTATTTCTTCCTCTTTGTACACTGATTCTGAACCTCCTACCTATACAACAGTTCTTACCTCTCTTGTTTGGTTTAAGGCTATAGAAGAAGAGTTTGGGGCTTTGCAAAAGCAACACATTTGGTCCTTAGTGCCCTTATTTTCTCATAAAAATCAAATTGGGTGTAATGGGTGTTCAAGATCAAACGCAACTCTGATGGTTCAATTGCTTGCTATAAGGCTCGACTTGTTGCTAAAGGCTACCTCAAACAAGAGTGTAATGCCCCAACTACCAGGCTGTTAATAAATCAAATCAACCTTAAATTTAAAATTATAACTAATTAATAAGCTCAAAAATACAAATTGACTCCAAAATAATTACACAAATGTCTATAATTTATGATTTATACAAATCTCAAAAAATAATATATAGTGGTGGGCCCAAATATCTCCAACTCAATAATTTTTTAAATGCTTCAACTCCAATCGCCACTAGATTTGCTCTACACTTGAAAAATAAATTAATTCGGGAAGTATACAATACAACAAGAATAACAATGCTCGAATAGAGAATAAATCAATAGGGATTCAATAATTTATGACATAGCACAAATGATTCGATTTGAGATATCAAGCAATTTACCAAATTGCACAAACAAGTCAACTCGACATATGATAATTTGTCCAGGACTAAGTACCCGGTCCTACTCAGTACATGACCAGTGACCGGCCTCACCCACCTCACCCAAGCACAACCGCTTATCTAGGCTATTGTTCCAAGTTATTGATAAGATCCACTTGATCCATGTACAGAGTATTTCTATATCATTTAGCTAGACAAATCAACACTGACTACACAAAACAACTTCACAGAATTTATTAAATGATTAGAATAATCAAATGAATTAACAACGAATAATTCCACAGAATTTATCAAACGATCAAAATAATCAAGAGGAGTACAAATTTACGGTAATTAAGATAAACTCTTTGCAAAGAGATTTAGATAATCATATTGTACACTACCCGAATTACCTCAAAACAATCTCCTCCATCACCAATACTCGAGTCTCGATATTTCTCCATGGATCTCCAAAAATGACATGTCATAATTCTAAGGCATAAGGTATGTAAGGTTTCACAAAATCTACAACTTTCCTCCTATATAAAAATGCTTACTTTCACTCTAAACACTCTTAATCTAAACTCTAAATCTATATAACAAATGGGGAGAGAGAGAGAGAGAGAGAGCAAAACAAAAAGATGAAAGAAGAAGAAGAATGATAGCAATGGTTGAGAGGTGAGCTCAATTTATAGGCAATGATACTTAGGATAAAAGAAAATGAAGACTTGGGGCAAAAGAAAAGAAATTTTACTTGGTGGGTAAGAAAAATGGGTTCACTTGGAGAGAAAAGAAAATTTAAAAAATTAAAAGAAAATAAAGATTACTTGGTAAGTAAGGAAATGATGAAAAAATAATAAAATAAAATTTACTTGATGCCCAAGAATAATAAAAAAAAATAAAAAATAAAGGAGATGAATAATAATGAGGTGGAGATAAAAAGAGATAAAACAAATAAAGAAAATCTTACCACCAAACTGCCACTAATATCTCTTACTAAAATATTAATACCTCAAAAATACGTGATCTCATGAAGAGGACATTGATTTTCAAGAGACTTTCAATCCAATTGCCAAGCTTTCTACTATCTGGATTATTCTTTGTCTTGCCTTGCATCATCACTGGCCACTCAAGTAGTTAGATATATCCAATGCTTTCCTTCATGGCAAGCTTGAAGAAGAGGTGTTCATGACCCAACCACCTGGTTTTGTTGATTCTTTCTATCTTACTCATGTGTGCAAGCTTCATAAGGCTTTGTATGGGCTTAAGCAAGCCCTTGGTGCTTGGTATTCAACATTCTCTACCTTTTTACTCTCTCAAGGTTTTCATAATAGTTATTGCGATTTCTCTCTTTTCATTCAAAAAACACCCTCTTCCATTACCATTTTAGTAGTCTATGCTGATGACATATTACTCACTGGTAGTGATCCCTCTCATATTCACTTCTTAGTTACTTAAATGCATCTTGCTTTCTCCATGAAAGAATTAGACAATATGTCCTATCTTCTTAGGATCTCTGTTTAAGCCTCTGTTATTCATTATTTCCTTTCTCAACAAAAGTATGCTCAAGAAATTATTCACAAAGCTGGGTTAGATGATTGTAAGCCTTGCCCGTCTCCCATTTATGTTAAACCTGGTTTGTCTACTTCTTCTGATCTTCTATTTTCTAATCTTTCTCTCTGTCGTACTCTTGTTAGGGCTTTGCAATACTTGACCATCACTCATCCCGATCTCTCTTTGGCTGTCAATCAAGCTTGCCAACACATGCATGCCCATACCAATGGTGATTTCTTTGCTATTAAACAGTTGATTCGATTTGTTAAGGGCACTCTCACTCATGGCCTAACATATACACTTGGTACCTTTGATGTTCATGCTTTTTCTGATTCTAACTGGGCTGGGGATACGGTTGATCGCAAGTCCACCTTTGGTTATTGTATATTTTTGGGCTCTAATCTTGTTTCTTGGTCTGCCAAGAACAGGCCACTGTCTCTCGTTCCTCGATCGAGGCTGAATATAGAGCTTTAGCTCATACTGCTGCTGAAATTAGTTGGCTACGTATGTTACTTGTTGATTTGTTTGTGTCTTCTTCTACTTTGCCTATGCTTTGGTGTGATAATCTTTCTATTCTTGCTTTGGCATCCAATCTCGTGTTTCACTCCCGTTCCAAGCACATTGAAGTTAATTGACATTTTGT